AGCCGGGCTGCGCCGTCCGCGCAGCCCCTTGCAGCCATCCTGCCGTCCTCACGCGGCTGTACCTCGCCGGGAGCGGGGAAGGGGGGTGCGGGCTGTGGGGGGTGTGATACCCACCGGCTCGGCGCGCTGTCTTCGCTCGGTATAATAAAGGATTGTCATTAGGTTTGCGTGTGGCATATGCCATTACCCCCACCGTAAAACTAAAATTAGCAAAATGTCAGGAATGGAAAGATTGATTCGCCCAAGATGCAATTATCATTTAAAAAGTGCTTGATTGAGGTGCTGATGTTCAGTGATTTATTCTGCATACCATATACATAATTAAAGTAGTGTAGCGGAGTAATTTATCAATCTAGTTTAGACTAGAGGGGCAAGGAAGGGAGCTGCTGCCGCTGCTGCTGCTCTATGTTTGTTTTATTAAAACGCTTTCGGGATCTGATCCCGCCCCCTTTTTGCAAGAGTGAAACTGATTATTTCTCCAGCTCGGGAGGAGAGAGTCATTCGTTTGGGATTGTGGGAGAGGGAGAGAGAGAGAGAGAGAGAGAGAGGGAGAGAGAGAGAGAGAGAGAGAAATAGAGACGCGGAGAAGGAGAAGAAAAGGGAGGAAGAGGGAGCGGAGCAGAAAAGGACACCTCATCAGGCGTGAGGTCCGAGCCCCCTCCTCGCCTCCCCCCTTCCCCTCCGCGATGTTACAAAGGCTGTGAGCTGCTCGCCTTTTCCCATTCGCCTGCTGTCACTTCCTTCCTGGACGCTTTCAGGACGAGTCCGGTTACTTTTAATCCGACCAGCAGCTCAGCCACTTTCTCCTCCTCCACGCTGCACACACGCACACACACACACACACACACCCCAGACATCTTCTGGCTGCTTATTGGATTGACTTTGAAGGTTGTGTGTGTGATTCAAGGAGGCTGCATGTTGAACCAGGTGGCGAATATTTAAGGCTGGAAGAAGTAAAGGGATTTTTTCTTTTTCCTGTGAAAGGAAAATATCTCAAGGACTAGTCTGATCATCCAAACAGCTAAATGTTTATAATGTAAGTATTTGTGAAATTCAGCATCGGAATAAAATATAGAGGGCATGGTACAAAAGCTCTACGTACATTTCCTACTGCATTTGAAGAATGTATCACTCATTGTATGTGGTCTGGGGTTGAGGTTGCTTGCAGACTTTCTAAGGGTATGATTGTGCAATTGCTTAAAAGTAACTTTTTAGACAAGTAACATAGTTAAATCACTGTCTAGTAAATTGTTCCTGACTTGTCTCTATCAGTATGGTAAGTGATTAAACTTTGATGAAGTTAGTTTACAGCATTTGTGTGCTTGATACTGCGAAGTGTTCAAGGCTGATTTGATTTGAATAGTTCACCAAATGCTATGACCTTGTAGTGCTTGCACCCTGATTTATCAGACTAAGGAAGCAATCCAGTCTGAGGGAAATGCTCTTAAACTTCATTGTATCATCGGCTCTTCAGTTCTTGAGTTTAGGTAATGCATGCTTGCAAGTGTTTAACTTTGTGCGTCTTTCATTTGAATACTTACGTTTGAGAGGGAAAGACCCCTTGCATCGATGTGGGAATTTAAGTCATGGGCTGCAAACCTCTCCTGGAATAGTGTGCTTCGGTCTGTACATGGTACTTTGAGTAATCCTTACATTTTTTAACACAGGGGAGCAGAGCTAATCAGCCTTACAAAACTAGCTGGTTTAGTTGCAGTACAGTTACTTGCAGGGTAAGATAAAGTTTCATGTAAATGTGAGACTTATAAGACTATTGGTGCATTATGTAACTGTAATACTTAGCATTTCCCATAAAACTTAGTGTGACCTTCTGTCAGCCTGAAAAACAAAACAGGTACAAAGACAAGCTAATAATTCCTTTTATTAAACAAACAAACAAAAAAAGGCAGCACAGTGCAAAACAAAACTTAATCACCGTGGGAACCTCAGCATTGTCTTTTTTAGAAAAGTTCTATTTTGTTTGCAGCATGTATTTTTTGTTATTAGCAAATATCTGTACCCAGAAATTAAACACTGTAATACACAATTTAAGACTAAAGATTTAAGAGAATTAAGCAGAGAAAGTCGCTTTGCCAGTATTTTACTGGTGATGAAAAAAAGAACTGTCTTGACACAAAATGCATTTTCCTAGCACGTATCTGAGATTCAGCTTAATGGCAAATGTCCTAGTTTCATATCTTTACTTTAAAAGAACTACAAGATGGATGATAAACCAATTATATTAGATGCAGATGTGACTAGATTTCTCTTATTGGCACTTTCCTGGGTATTATGGTTGAAAGGTAAAGATGTTTATATGGAGTATAATAACTCTGATCCCTAGAGGCTTGGCAGGGCATGGAAATATAACCACCTGTGAACCAGTTCTAATCTCTGTATTACATACATACTGATTTCCAGTTAAAACGCCCAGGCAAACAGCCACTTTGGGGATTTGTCATTTTGTGAACTGTTTTTGTTACGTGATTTTAGGTACCTCGCATGAAGTTAAAAAGCCCTCGAGACTTTCTTACTTTATCAGTTTTATTAAAAGCCTGTTGTGTTTTTACTTCTGTATTAATGAATGCATAATTCATACCAGGTCTGACAGTGAAGTCTCTGCTCACACTTAACTCCCTTTGGAAATAATGGGAAAATTCTTTGAAGAACTTAAGAGAACGGCCCTTATAAATTCAGGGTGTCTATGTTCCTTGTAGCACACATCCTTTTATTTTAAAAACTTGCTGTTTATGTATATATCTTCACTAATATGCCCTACATAGGTAGTATGAGAAGATGGGTCTGGGACCCGTATGTGAAAGCCTTCTTTCTTGCAAACAGTACTTAAACAACTAGTCCACTGACAACGCTGAGACTACTTGTGTGAAAATGAACAAGTCATAGGAATAATGATTTACAGGATCAGGCCCCGAGGACACTGAAACCTCCTGCCTGTCCCAATAGCTTTCTATAGGACAGAGATGTAAAGAATGTCACTTTTGATGTCCTATAAATGGATGCAGGAATCAGATATGTCTGTATCCTCTTAAGATTACTTGACCAAGAAAAAAGGAAATTTAGGCTTAAGAGCCTGATAGAAATTGGTACTAAGTGATGAATAGTGTGTGAGATTAAGTCGTTTAGAGTTACGTTCCTGAGCTGCTAGTTTTGGAGCGTCATAAGACAATTCATACAAATACTTTCTCACTCTGAATTTTCTTTCAATATAGGATCAGAAAATTATTTTTTTATAAACACCCTTAATTTGTTTACCTGCAATGCATATTCAAAACCAGGGAGATGCCTCTCTTAAATGGTTCTGGGGTTTAAAACATCTGAAGTATTACAGACAAAGGGAAATGAAGCTTTCTGAAGCTTCTTCCAAAAGTTTACCTCTGAAAGAATTTGATAGCTCACTATTTAGGAGATAAATGTAACTACATAGAAACTTAGAGACTGCACAGGAGTTGTGAGGAGTACTTCTGCCAACTTAATTTCTTTTAATTTTACTTTTCTCTGTAACAGGTTAATTTATTGTTCACCAGAATAGTTCAGTTCATCTTCGGAGACAGCTAAGGATATTTCTACATCTTATTGAGCAAGAAGTCGTTAATTATTAGGTGCTTGAAAGAATAAGCATTTGGGTTTTGAGATATAGACGCCGTCTTTACCTGTTGGACATCATTATTCTAAATTACATGATTATTTATCTGAAAATCAAGTAAAGTGTAGTGGTGTTCTTTTGAAAACGCTGGTTATGAAGATGAACATAAATGGTGCCATGTAATTTCAAGGAGTTTATAGTCTCTGCTTCAGCATTTTGAAGAATAACCAAAGCAGTTGGTATTTTAAGATTTTTGAATTTTGCTGTATGATATCAGCAGAGATATTATGCTACATCCTCATTTAGCCTCTGTAGTGACTTAGGTATAAAATACAAAAAAGCTATATATATAATTCTGAGCAGCTAGAGCACTTCAAGCTTAAGAGTAGGGTGAGTATTCTGGTATTTGAAAAGGATGGAAATAGAGCACTGCCTCTTATTTCAGAAACAAAATGGGTTTAAAAGAACTCTGGTCAGCAAACACAACTGATGGTGCAAGTGAAAAATTAAAAAATTTAATTTTTTCATTTCCTATTTTTAAAAGGAATTATTTGGGTCCTCTGACCAGCTTTAAGGTAATTTTCTCAGAACTGATGGTCAATGTTGCATGCGGACAGGTGATTAAAAGCTAGTGTCTTCAGTCCTCCACTTTAATCTCACTGTCTCATTGACTGCAGTGCAGGAGAGCTTGTCTATTCACTAGGATCTGTCATCTTTAGGAAATCAGACCAGCTTATAGAGGCGATTCACAAAACCAACAGTGACAACAAAGTCTTATGTGCCTTACAAAAGAAGGATTAGGCAGTTCACATGTCATTTTGATTGGGCAGAGATAAAAGCTGATTGCTGCAGCATGGCAAGGCACACTTCAATTTCAATTGATTATTTTATGAGACAACTGTAACTCTGTTGCTTAGTCATTGTTAAATGCAATTTGAAGGAAGGAAAACTCAGTTTTGACATTACTGGTTTCGTATGACTGTAGTTAAAGGTAGAGCCACTTGTAGCATTGTTATACAGATTTTAAGAACATTGTTTAATTCACCGCTTTTGGGAAATACATTTAAAATGTAATAGATGATTGCCCTGGGATTCTTTAAAAACATTTATGCCTAAATGATATCCTGTAACAGCAATTAAAAGTTCTTAAAAGTGCCTAGGACTATACTAAATTCACTGCACTTACCCTGTTAAGAGCTTACATGCAGAGGAGAGTGCATAAAACATGTCAGGGCTTTGCAGATTTATCAAAAAGCATAATATTGAGGACAAGTAAGTCATCTTAGTTTACCTCTGTTCTGTTACTTTTAACAATGTGTAATGATGTACAACTATACTTTGTGTTGTGTATGTGAACATAGTGGTCTGGTTTGAAAATAGGAAATTAAATGTCCCTATATTATTAAATATGTCATTTATCAGTGAGAATAGAGAGTTTCAGCTATTTGCATAATTTAGTTATAACGTAAAGCCTTTAACATTTGGAAGTATGAAACTTCTAAGCTGATAACTTCTATGCTAATTTCTTACCATTTTTCAAAGGAAGAACTCTTTTTTTTTACCCAACTGATGCCTCCTAGTGTTTCACATAATAAAACACTAATGAGTCAACCATAAATGTAAACGTTCTTTTCATTGTCTGCATCTTATGTGATACATAAAATTAATATTTATGTATTTAATTTTCTGTGTGTTATTATAATCAGAGAGGAAACTCCTGTAAATTCAGATGTTTCATCTTAATGGACACTGAAAGCACATTTTGATCTTCTTTCATTCTAGCTTTGCCTGGCTTGTATTTTGAAAGTTTATGTTACATGTAAAATACATTTTCTTTTTCTCCTTTTGTTTCTTATGTGCATTGCACTAACTTCTCAACAATGTATTGTGAGGCTCAAATGTGAATTTAAAAAATTTTTGTAGGATAATGTTTTGAAAAGTAAGCCCTTGGAAACAGGCAATAAATGCAGTTATAGAAATGCTTGAAATATCCTAAAGTACCTCACGGCCAACTAAGATGAAAAAGACTAGTCTGAGACATGCTCGCTCGCTACAGTCCTTAAAGAATAGTTAAGTTACCACATTTTGCAATTGTTCCTGCTTATTTTACTGCTGTATAAGCAACAAAACTGTATTAGGACAGTCTTCAAATGTGCAAAACATGCACCTTACACTTTTGATTGCAGATGTGAATGATCAGTACTTTTGAAAAGGAATTTTTGTGCATAACATATTGAAACAGAGCTTGGAGTGGTGAAGACTGAAATACAGTGTCCTTTTTTTTAGAAGTTAAGTCTGGCCATGTAACTCATGAATACCTGAAAAAGCATTCAGTTGTTAGATTTATATCATACAACAGTAGAATATTTTTTTTTTTTTTTATGGGAGGGTGTAATTTTCAAAAAGTTAGCTAGCATCAGTGTGACAAAGTACAA